CCGTACTCCAGTCATTTGAGTTATCCCACCAAGTCTCTTGCGTCTGATGAAGTGGGCATTCACCCACGAAAGCTTATGCTCCAATACTTCTGTTAGTCTTAAAGGTGCCACAGGACCCTCTGTTGCTTTTTACAGATTCAGACTAACACGGCTACCCCTCTGTAGCTGGACTACTGTGTCCAGTTCTGGGCACCACACTTTAAGAAGGAAGTGGAAAAACTGGAAAGGGTCTAGAGGACAGCAACAAAAATTATAAAAGGTTTAGAAAACCTGATCTTTGAGGAAAGGTTAAAAAAAGGGGGCAAGTTTAGTTTTGAGAAAGGAAGCCTGAGGGGTGATCTGATGACAGTCTTCAAATGTGTTATGGACTGTTATAACAACGATGGCTATCAACTGTTCTGTGTCCCACTGAAAGTAGAACAAGTAGTAATGGGCTTAATCTGCAGCAAGACAAATTTATGTTAGATACAAGGAAAAACTTTCTAACTATAAAGATAGTTAAACACTGGAATAGGCTTCCCTGGGAGGTTGTGGAATCCGTCATTGGAGGTTTTAAGGACAGGTTAGACACACACTTGTCAGGAATAGTCTAACGATACTTGGTCTTGTTACAGCACAGGGGACTGGACGACATGACCTCCTGAGATCACTTCCTGCCCTACATTTTTCTGTGATTCTATGTGAAATATAATTTAGAAATATCCAGTTCATAACTGTTTATATCTGACATTATGGTCTCTGTATGTTCAGAGTATCACACTAAGCATCTAAATTCTCTTGGTATTACCTCAAATATAAATTTGGAAACACACTCTACAAATCCTTAAATTTTGCCTACAGATTAAATGGAGAGGGAAATAGATGCTATTTCAAAGAAAGTTTCAATGTTCGGTTCAGATCCATTAAGCCCACTTACATGTGTGAATATTATATAAAGTTGTTTTTTCCCACCTCTACATGTTTAAATTTCCAATTTTGTAAAAGTGATCAAATTAAGGACTTATTATTGCTGGACCAAGATATAGATTAGTGCTCACTCGTGATCTTCACCCTTGTGCCAATTAAACCCTGCATTAAGGATTTAAGCTCCGAGTAAGACTGTGCGGGCTCACTCCTACTGTGAGCACAACTCCCAAGCACATTAGAAGGTAAATGTACTGTGTAATACTTCTTAAGCTCTCAATCTCTTCTCTCTCATTGGAATACAAAATAAACAAAGCAAAGTAACCTGTTCAATATTCAGAACGAAACCAAGCATCTAACATGGAGTGACAATTCCTGGATTTAAAAAATTAAGAATTCCTTAGTCTCATTAAATACAAAGACTGTTTAACTCAAAACGAAAGCTATGGGCAAATCTTTGTAGACGGCCATCATTATGTATTAATGTTATCTTTATATTTTAAGGCAACAAAAACTGTAGATGTTTCAAACTTTGTATTCTGGTATATTCAAGTCATGAGAGGAAGAATGCTCAGAACTTCAGGAAGGTTTTAAAGCTGATTTTGTAACTCAAACGACTTAAATATTTTTTAAAACCAGGGATGAGTCCAAGCATAAGTTTCAGTCTAGCAAGAATTTTTAGGCCAGAATTATTTGTGACTGAAGACAGTGGTTTATATAATCATGAAAGTGTCATCTTGCACTAAAAAACAATGCTAGCATATTGCCCCAAGTGGCTAAAATTAACTGCATATGCAAGCTTTAATTTTCATACACATTAGCGGCAATCAAGATTCAATGTTTTTATTGAATGTTGCATACTTCATGTTTTTCAAAGGCCTAAATAATTTATGAAACTTCCCTTTCATATATTATAACTAACAAGCTTTATCACAGCTTTAAAAACCCTTAAAACTCATTTATTATGAGCACTAAATATTTAAAATAGGTAGATTTAAATATAATTATGTTTTAATACTTTTGCAAAATGAAAGCTCCAGGCTTTGTTTATATTCTCAATACACAAAACAAACTTACTGTAGGATAGTAAATTTGCATTTCACTGCTAAAGCACAAGCATTATGACATACTATAGTGCACAACTTAGACATGTTACAAAAAAATTTAATGTTGGTAACTACAGTTGATTTATTGAATTTTTTTAATAAAACAACTTATTTTTCCCCAAGACAACTGCTATACAGAAGAAAATCGCTTCTCAAAATGGTCTGTCTTTCAGATATAGTAAAAAACTCACAACATACAAGGTTTGTATTTTAGAACAAGTAATCAATCTGCAAAATGTTACACATCAATAAGGCACCTATACTTTACAGCGGTCGAAACAAAATGAAAATATCTCCCAAAATATATATTTTGGATCTGTGTAAACAAAGCTTATTTTTATTGCTTCCTTTCATTCAAGAGAAAAATATACACCCAACAAAGACCAAAAGTGATCCCGGCGCTCTGATTTTTAAACTACTATAACCAGATTATATGTAGTAAGAAGACAAAACCCAATACAACCACCATGAATTTAATGTTTTTGAAAGATATCATAATTGTTACTTATTCTTGATGTGAAAGGTAAGGTTAAAAATACCCACAAAAGTTGATGCCATTTTACTGAATGAAAAAGAATGTGTTATGAAAATAAACATCCATCTGGTTTCCTAATAATAAATATAAAGACTTGGTTATTTTAACATACTGCAACACAGGAAGTATTACTGTAATGTTGACTTTATCAATCAGTAGTTTTTAAATCTCTCTCTCCTCATTGAGGTTTGAATCTTCTACCTTGTCAGCTGTCCAACAACTTTTAAGAGGGTCTTATTTTCCTGCTTTAATTGCTCATTTTCATCCTCTATATCATCTAGGTCCTTTGGGGAAAAAAATAAAAACATTTGTCAGGATGCAAAAATGGATTCTTAAACTAGTAATTTAAAAGTCCTGGAATTTAAGAGATCAGTACACGAAACCAAGAGATTATAGGGCAAAGACAGAGGAAGAGTTAGTTTCACAGCATCTCTATTTAAAAGGGCTAATGAAGCAAAGCAAAAATTGCTAAAAATTCACATATTTCCAATGCTACTGTCAGGACAAAACATTCATTTCACATTCCCAGGTGACAAGCTTCTTTTCAAAATAAATATATAATCAAAAACTGTGTCAGGAGATTAATAGTAAGAAGCCACTTGGCACGTGCCCATGTTACTTCATATTTACAAAATACTGGGGCTTTTGCGCACCACAGTGCACTAGTAGCCTACTGACATACACACACACAGTTTATTAGCACAGGACAGCACATTAAATTTTACGTATTTTTTTAAAATATAAGTTTGTCGTCAGAGGCTTATGAAAAGTATGTTAGCACACGTTCAATTCTCATTTTCTATTTGAAAAAATAGTTGAAAAGCCATATCTTGCCCTTGTCAGAGTTCTGATTATAGCTAGATGGCTTGAAAATTAGAAGTCCAATTTATTTTTTTCAACAGAAGGCGAGTGTAAGGGGACCAGAGAACAGCAGGGTTGATAAAAAAAGGGGCATCCTATTCTGCTTCTGTCTTTCCTTCCCTCTTCACCCAATATTCTGCCTGCCATTCCCCCATCTCTCTCCCCAGCTTGCCTCTTATTCCTCCTTTGCTTCTTCACTTCTGCTCCCACAGTGAAGTTTAACTGAAAAGCAGCACAGCTGCTATGGTCGGCAGTGCTGTAGAAGAAGGGAAAAGAAGAAGAGAAGTGGAAGGAGAAGGGGGAAAGGTAGAAAAGTAACCCGGTGAGAGGTAAAAAGAGGTGGATGGTGGAAGTTTGGAGGAGAAAAACCAGAGATGGGGAATTAGGGTTTTCAGCTTCCTTTGCAATGAAAGTGTGTAAAATCCCCACAATAGTTATGTCAGATGGGCGGGGGAGGGGAAAAAAAGGGTGAAAGATTATCCACTCCCCCATTCCCTTAATTTTGAAACACACACTTAACAAAATGGTCATATGAATTTGCCTGTTTCTTTTGGTGGGGGCATCCCAGAAGTGCACCTTTGGGAGTAGGTGCTTAGGTGTGCTATCAGTATAAAGCTCCAGCCTGCCAACCAAAACATGGCTTTGGCAATCAGTGCTCAAAGCCACACTGCAGTACCTTTGCAGTTACTCTTTTGTCCTACCCTGTTTCCCCGAAAATAAGACAGTGTCTTATATTAATTTTTGCTCCCAAAGATGCGCTAGGTCTTATTTTCAGGGGAGGTCTTATTTTTCCTGGAGCTTCGGTGCCTTATATTCCAGGGTGGCCTTATTATCGGGGAGGTCTTATTTTCGGGGTGACGCCTTATATTACAGCGAGAGGCAAAACTGGAAGTAGGTCTTATTTTCGGGGGATGTCTTACTTTCGGGGAAACACGGTATGTAGCATGCAATACAGAGATTAGCAGCAGAACATCTTACGTGCCTAACAAAAATACAAACATTTTAGAGATGCTATATCAAAATACAGCTGGCTTTCTGGAACAGATGATATTTAATTGTTCTGAAGACACAGATGAACCAAACATTTAATCATGATATATAAATATGGTAATTTGTATTTAGAGGTAAAAACAGCGCATGAACACATAGTACCTTATTTTAACTAACCACTGTAGGCTTTGCTTTTTCTATTGCAAAGTCCTTGTCAGCAACAGATGTAGTGGGAACAAACAGTTGTAGGGAATAATGAAATGGCACCTTTTCAATAAAATGGTTGAAGTGCAGCTTTCTGTAATCATAATTTTATGCTTATTTTTGAAGCTAACTCAGTAAATGATGTACTATAACTAAATGGTAGATGACTCCATTACATTGAAACAACTGTTTAAAAGCCTTTGGACAAAAATATTTCAGAGTTACTCAAAAATTAGATAATATATAAAAGACTTTGTGGAATGTTTATGCTACAAAAATAACATTCCAAAGATTACTGTAAGTATGGGCTACTTGAATACAATCCAGTAATAACAACTGACTGTAGTTTAAATATCTAAAGAAATAATAATAATGGATGCATACATGTAAGTGACTTTTACCACTTTAGATTTAAAAAATTACATTATTAATTTAATACTGTTTATTATAAAAGAACTACAATGGCAGAGAAGTGTAGGCTTCAGATACCAAAATGATAGATGACTAAACAACTGATACTTTAATCAGAGTGCAAATGCTCTCTGAATATATTCTCTCCAAACACACATTTAACTACAGTGACTCCCCAGTGAGGTCACAGATGACCAACTCTAAACTACTCCAAAGTTGAACTAAGTCAACAAACAGTTTAATATCTTCAGATGCCTTTCCTTTCAGACAGTTGGGAACTTTATGTACACATTCTCCCTTTCTTTTAAAAGGTAGCAAAGTTCATCGAATAGCTCAGCTATTGAACTGAGACAACTACATTTATGGCACAAGGTTTTTGCAGGGTTCTCAATGCAAAAGGATCTCTTGTTCTAGAAGCTTCTCCGTAATCTGCTGCCTGGTTTTAGTAAAAATCTTTCAAGTAAAAAGTTATTTAACCTAATTTACTTAGAAGGGACACAACTTAAGAAGTTTTCTAGATTCGTTAAAAAAACAAGTTACAAAAGTGAAGATTTACTTACCACTGACTAGAGTCCTTGAACAGCCTTTGTATACCCACACTAATGGGGGACACATCACTGGTGCAGCAGGACCAGCAGAAACCTGTAGAAGTGGTGCCTAGAAGTTGGAGTGCGAGCCTATGCCCGTTGGCAGCTCTGAGTGTTCCGAGAGCTAGACTATAAAAGGGGGCATCATAACAGCTTCAGTTCTTTTCACCACAAATCGACCACCTAGTAAATAGCAACAGGACTCTAAGGCCTGGTCCACGCTAACCCCCCACTTCGGACTAAGGTACGCAAATTCAGCTACGTTAATAACGTAGCTGAATTCGAAGTACCTTAGTCCGAACTTACCACGGGTCCAGACGCGGCAGGCAGGCTCCCCCGTCAATGCCGCGTACTCCTCTCGCCGAGCTGGAGTACCGGCGTCGACGGCGAGCACTTCCGGGATCAATCCGGGATCGATTTATTGCGTCTAGACAAGACACGATAAATCGATCCCAGAATAAATCGATTGCCTGCCGCCGAACCAGGAAGTAAGTGTAGATGTACCCTAAGGAAAAAGGGGAAGGTGGAGGAATAGCTTGAATGTCCAGAGGCATAATTAGAAGAACTCTATCTATTTGTAAGGAACCTTCAGTACTTCTGTGAGTGGGCCTCTGCTAAACTCCCGTTAGTGGGAATGTATAAACAGTGCATCCTCTTTTCAGAAGAGTGGGATGAGGCTGACTAGCTAAGGAGTAATTGTAGTACTGATCTCCCAAATTGGGATTCTGAACCTAATGCCAGGTCCATTGCATAATGTTCTGTGAATGGGTGGATTGAGCTCTAAGAGGCAGTTCTAAAGATCTCAGCTATTATGTTATGCCTCAGATAAGCCATAGAGCCCACTCATCTAGTGCTAAGACAACCTCTCAGTCCCTCTGGCACAGGGACATTAGCCTTCCCCAATACACAGCCTGATCCAATTGGTCAGGCATTAGATTGTAGTGGCCTTTTACCAGAAAACACAAATGTCACCAGGGCCGGCTCCAGGCACCAGCCCAGCAAGCAGGTGCTTGGGGTGGCCAAGGGAGAGGGGCGGCACACCAGGCTCTTCGGCGGCGGGTCCCTCACTCCCTCTCAGAGCGAAGGAACAGCCGCTGAAAACTGAAGCGGCGGCGGTAGTGCCACAGATTGCGATCGCGGCTTTTTTTTTTTTTTTTTTGCGCGCTGCTTGGGGCGGCAAAAACCCTGGAGCCGGCCCTGAATGTAACCTCAGCAACCTTCTATAGTCTATTGACCTACATATATGAAAGGCTACAATCCGCAACCTCACCTCCTGGGGATATGAGTGTGGTTTTGGAAGAAATACTATTAGATTCAAGGTTTGGTTAAGATGAAAGCCAGTTACCATCTTGGCGCATAAATTTAGTTGCCTCTGAAAGAACTATTTTGTCCTCATGGGAGTCCATAAAGGGTGGGGGTCAGCAATGAGCATTTGCAGTTCAGAAACTCACAGCTGATGTCATGTCTAAGATAAAGACGGTCTTGATGAAGAGATGGGAAAGGGAACATTCTTCCCTGGGTTCAAAGGAGAATGCATCACTGAGTGTCACACCTCACTGAATCCTTTAGTGATTATTCATGCTAGTTTTGCTGATTCCTGCTCATGTGGCCAGCAAGCATGTTGTCCTTTCCTGCCAGCTGGGCAGCCACAGGATAAGAGAGAGAGGCGATGCATCACTGTCATAGGATATTGCTTCCCTTCACTGCTGGGTGGAGGGAATCCTTCCCTCCCCTTTTTATTGACATAAAACATTGTTATGATATTGTGGGTGACTATTTGCACCACAGGTGACAGATTGAAAAGGTCCTTGCAGAGTTATAAGTGGCTAATTTAGTAATGGCAACCTCACTGGGGATGATTTGTTGGTTTTTATGGTTTTCGGGAAAAAAAGAGACTGAAGGGGGCCTACGGAATTGGAAACAGAAACTTGAGAAGTTTTCACTCCCATATCTGCAGTCCTAACTTTTGCCCTGGAACCATGATGAAATGTCTCTCTCTTAGGAAAGGAAGCCATCCCTGTGTATCTGTTTTATGCTTCTGTCCCTTGTGTGTAAGGGTCAAAGAGAGAGAACTGAATCCCAGTTGCAATCAGGGCCGCCTTTAGGCAGATTCCCCAGAATCGGGCCCCGCGTTTAAGAGGGCCCCGCGCCTTAGGCGCCTTTTTAATTTTTTTTACTCACCCGGCGGCGGTCCGCTCTGGGTCTTCGGCGGCGGGGGGTGGGTGGGGGGGGTGTCCTTCAGTGCCGCAGAAGACGCGGAGCGGACCCCCTGCCGCCGAAGACCAGACTGCCGCCGGGTATTCGAATCGGGCCCCGCAGGTCCTAAAGCCGGCCCTGGTTGCAATTCTCCCTCAACCGGATCCAATACCAGGTTTGAGGGCCATTCATGGCCTGGGACCAGAACTGAAATGGGAGCCATGGATCTGCAATGGCCATCAACTGGGGCGCTGGGAAAGACTGATTCCCTATACTCTGAAGGAACTGCTGAAGCTTTCAAACAAGGCTTGGTCAATGGAATGAGCCAGTAGATGGAGGTGGTCAGATTCATACGTGATGGATCCATGACTATTAACACCTTTAGGCTTAGGTCTACACCCAGAAGCCAACATCTTAACAGGCCAGTTCCTTTCTAGCAGTCGGATATGCATGTCATAAGATCCTTATCAGCTTTAAATATGGCTCCATGTATGGAGACAGATACCTGAGAAGCAATTTGGCCAGGTCTCTTAGTCCTTAGGAAGGGCATTAGGACCTGAGGAACACCTCTCGAAACTTAAAGCATTCAAGGAAACAGGAGTATCTGAAGCAAACATCTTTCCCATTAGAGCCTCTAGTAGGAAGACTGCCTACAACCAGTTCTGTAACTCCTTCCTAGCCTTTTGGGTGAAACTCTTGCAGACAGACCACCTAGGTGGGGGATAACATTCCCATAGAAAGTTCAGACACAGTCTCTGGGTATCTGAAACCAGGAAGGTGGCAGGAGTAGAGGGGCACCTCTCAAACTTTGGTCTCTTAGCTTTGGAATCTACCCTCATGAGTATGGGAATGTGCAATAGGATGCAGAAGATCCCTAAAGGCCCAAAATATTCCTAAAAACTATCTAAATTACTGATACTCACTGGAACTAAAGTTTTATTTAAACTACAATAAATTTGTCTAAGAAAAGTATTTGAAAACCAAGTTTCAAGAGAACTGAGTCAAAGTGTCAGCAGAGAGGATCAGGAGCCTCATTATTGTGATTGGAAGGAACTAAAATGGTTAAGCTCGGCCCTACCCATTTTTATAGCCTCTCAGAACATTCAGAGCAGCAAGGGGGAACATGCAGACACTGTAGTGGGCATTGCGTCTAGACATTTCCTCTAGTCCAGTTGTAACCCTAGCACTTTACTGGGAATGGGCAGAGGCCACTTCAAGAAAGAAGTCTATTAAATCTTAGCTGAAAAGTCAAACACAAAATAAATGCCTAATTCCCTCCCTACCTTGTCCTGGAAAATACAGGGAGGGTGGGGAAGAAGAGAAGAGATGGAAGAATTTGGAAGCTTTTCTCATCCTTGTGTAATACATGTACTTACTCTGTTTAATAAATCAATTTCTTCCTTCAATTTCCCAATCTGTTCCTCTTTGTCCTGTGTCATCCTCAATAATCTTACATTTTCTTGCCTCTCCTTGGCTAGTTCCTATAAAAGACATAAATTAACAGTCTCAAATTGAATGTTCTTCCAGCACTCCTAAAAATTAAATTTGAAAAAGGACAGTTTTAATATACTGTAATTAGGAAAATTTTGCTTCTTACCTGAAATTTCCTGTCTTCAGATAACTAGGCCCACAAATCCTGCAGTGTGTCTTCAAGCCCTTGTAGCTCAAGGAGGCCAAGCAGACCTGTTAGTCACAGGTCTAGGGCAAAATTCTGCCACTGAAGAGCCCACCAGTGCGATGACCTCCAAAGCTGACCTATTAACTGATTAATTTCTAACTTAAGCCCTGATCCTATAGTGAGTTCTGAAACAGGGCCCAAATTGGATATTAAAATCAAAATATCAACTCCTAAAGTAATCACGCTGGTGGGCTTTTCAGAGGCAGAATTTTGCTCTGATGTATGACTAAGGTCTACTTGGCCTCCTTGACCTATAAGAGCCTGAAGACCCACCCATGGGCCTGGATACAAAGGTGTATGAAACATTTGTCATACATGAGGCTTCAGTTACTGAAGAAGTTATTCAAACTCCTCCCTCATCTCTTGCTATCCTTTTGGTAGTTTGACTGGTTTGGGAGGAAGCCAGTTTTGGAAGGGAGAGATTACAAGGCAATTTCAGTTAACTCAAAGATTCTGTAATTCCTAAAAATATATATAAAGGCTTCCTGGTGTTTTACTCCCATCCTTTTTAGAAGGAAGATCTTCCCCAAACAATATTTTTATTTAGCAACTTTCATCTACAAGGATTCAAGAGTATTTGGTAGGTTATATTACAAGGATCACTTCAGAGGGAGCACGGAACATCAGGAATATGACAGATCAATGGCTCAGGAAAACATCTGTAAGGGATTAGGGTTTAGGTTATGTTTCAGTGCCTGAGAGGAGAACAGGAGATGGTTGGTTCTCTGATCAAATCACCTTTAGCCTTGGTATTATTCCCTGGTTGGGCAAATGGCAATTTAGTATTTATAATAATACAAATTTCACATTCTTCTCAGACAATCTGATTCTGTATGCACATTGGTATTCACAAGAAATTATTGCTACTTTTTATTAAAAATTTAGGACCATTGCTTAATATTTTTGTAACACTGACCACCCCCAGTCATCATCAGCGATCAAACCTGGGACCTCTTGAGCTTATTGCATGAACCTCTACTGTCTGAGCTAAAACACACATCTCTTAGCCAAGACGGTAGCAGGCTCATCAATCTCTACCTGGCCAAGCCACCACTAGAGAGGGACAGAGTTCCACACCGAGTTGGCATGGCACTAGTATCTCCTCATGGAATTTATAAGGTATTTTATTTTGAAACTAACATTGGGCATAAGTTAAATTTGTATTTACCCTTTCAAGTTCTTCAATCCTCTTTTCCAAAGCACTGCTTGGTACAGAATTCCCAGAAGAATTTGCATCCCTGCTGTATCTGCTATATCCTGTCCTGTCTGTTCGGGAATATCGATTTGGACCATCATCTTCAGGTGCATTAGTTGCACTGTGAAGTAAAGATTAAACTTTATTAATATGCCTAGTGTAAAAAATAGGTTTTAGTAAATATTTCCTGTGTCCCTTATATTTTTCTCCTAGTGCCAATACATTCATGTAAAATTGACTTATTCATATTGTAAATGACCACCTACTTCAAGACAACATGGATAAAACTTAATTTTCTTACCTGTAATTTTGTCTTCTCTGAGAAACAAAATCAGTTGCTCGGTCAGACCTGCAATTTCTGGGTTTTACTGTCTCTAACTGGATTTTCTTTTCTTGTCTCTAAGGCAGGACAGCGGTACCTGTTTCCCAGCACCCCCAATGCAATCTGCCTCTCATTGCTCTATATAGAACTGCACAGCTGTTGCTCCGAAGTCCCTGAGTTTCTAGGAACTCAGGTTAATTCCTTCAAGGGGTGCATGGGATCCAGGAGGAGGGTGGGAGAACAAGTATTTTTATCCCTTGGCAGGCACATAGTATTTTTCTCTGCCCAATTTGAGGTGGGAGGAAGAGAAAATGGATCTGCCATAGGGACCTGACAGGATCCATAATGGTCCTGTTGACGGGTAGGGTCACCTTTTATATGCTCTCTTAGTCGTCTCTTTCCAAGCTGAAAATTCCCAGTCTTTTTAATCTCACCTCATATGGAATCATTTTTGACCCAGACCCTGAATCATTTTTGTTGCTCTTCTCTGTATCTTTTCCAATTCTAATATATCTTTTTTGAGATGGGATGACCAGAACTGCAGGCAGTATTCAAGGTGTGGGTGTACCATTAATTTATATAGCGGCATTGTTATATTTACTGGATTATCTGTCCCAGTGGTTCTCAAACTGTGGGTCGGGACCCCAAAGTGGGTCACAACCTGTTTTAATAGGGTTGCCAGGGCTGGCGTTAGACTTGCTGGGGCCCAGGTCCGAAGCCCAACCCCAAGCCCAACCGCCCGGGACTCTGACACTCTGACCTTGGCTTCAGCTCCTGGTGGTGAGGCTCAGGCTTCAGCTTCAGCCCTGAGTGACAGGGCTCGGGCTATAGGCACCTCCCCCCGCCCCGGGGCTAAAACCCTTGGGCTTCGACTTTGCCGCCCCCGCCCCCCCAACACACACACACTGGGGGCGGTGGGGCTCAGGCGGGCTCCGACTTCAGCCTCCTCTTCCGGGGTCATGTAGTAATTTTTGTTGTCAGAAGGGGGTCTCAGTACAATGAAGTTTGAGAACCCCTGATCTATCCCTTTCCTAATTGTTTCTAACATTCTGTTAGCTTTTTTGACTGCTGTCACACATTGAGCAGATGTATGCAGAGAACTATCCACAGTGACTCCACTGTCTCTTTCTTGAGCAGTAACAGCTAATTTAGACCCCATCACTCCCTATGTATAGTTGGGATTATGTTTTCAATGTGCGCTACTTTGCATTTATCAACATTGAATTTCATCTGCCATTGTTGCCCAGTCATCCAGTTTTGAGAGATCACTTTGTAATTCTTCATAGTTCTTTGAACTTTTATATCCTGAGTAATTTTGTATTATCTGCAAATTTTGCCACCTCACTGCTTACGCCTTTTTCCAGATCATTTATGAAAATGTTGAACAGCATTGGTCCCAATAAGAATCCCTGGGGGACACCACTATGAGAGGACCTTCCTTCTTATCCCATGAGGGCTTATTTTGCATAAGAGCCTTTGGTGAGGGACCTGGTCAAAGGCTTTCTGAAAGTCTAAGTACACTGTATCCACTGGATCCCCTTGTCCATGTTTACTGACCTCCTCAAAGAATTCTAATAAATCGGTGAAGCATGATTTCCCTTTACAAAAGCCATGTTGACTCTTCCCCAACAAATCACATTCATCTCTCTGTCTGATAATTCTGTTCTTTACTATAGATTCAATCAATCTGCCTGGTACTGAAGTTAGGCTTACTGGCCTATAATCGCCAGGATCGCCTCTGCAGCCTTTAAAAAAAAAAATCGGCATTATATTAGCTACTGTCCAGTCATCTGATACAGAGGCTGATTTAAGCAATCGATTACATACCACAATCCGTAGTTCAGCAATTTCATATCAGGTCCTGGTGACTTATTGCTGTTTAATTTATCAATTTGTTCCAAAACCTCCTCTATTGACCCCTCAATCCGGGGCAGTTCCTCAGATTTGTCACCTAAAAAGACTGACTCAGGTGTGGGAATCTTCTTAACATCCTCTGCACTGAAGACCAAAGCAAAGAATTCATTTAGCTTCTCCACAATGGCCGTATCTTCCTTAAGTGCTCCTTTAGCACCTTAGATCATCCATTGGCCCCACTGATTATTTGGCAGGCTTCCTGCTTCTAATGTACTTAATTAATTTGCTGTTAGTTTTTGAGTCTTTTGCTAGCTGCTCTTCAAATTCTTTTTTGGCCTGCCTAATTATACTTTTACATTTCATTTGCCAGAATTTATGTTCCTTTCTGTTTTCCTCAGTAGGATCTGACTCACAATTTTTAAAGAATGCCTTTTTGCCTCTAACTGCTTCCTTTACTTCATTGTTTAGCCATGGTGGCACTTGTTTGGTTCTCTGACTGTATTTTCTGATTTGAGGTATACATTTAATTTGAACCTCTATAGCAGTGTTTTAAAAATATTTTCCATGCAGTTTACAGGCATTTCACTTTTGTGACTAACAATTTCCATTTAACTCACTTCTTCATTTTTGTGTAGTTCCCCTTTCTGAAGTTAAATGCCACTGTGGTCAGCTTCTTTGGTGTTTTCCCTCCCACAGGATGTGAAGTTTAATTATATTATGGTCACTATTACTGAGCAGTTCAACTATATTCACCTCTTGGATCAGATCCTGTGCTCCACTTAGGATTAAATCAAGAATTGCCTCTCCCTTTGTGGGTTCCAAGAAGCAGTCATTAATGGTGTCTAGAAACTTTATCTATGCATTCCATCCTGAGATGACATGTACCCAGTTAATGTGTGGATAGCTGAAATATTATTATTGAGTTTTCTTTTTTTATAGCCTCTCTAATCTCTCAGAGCATTTCACAATAACCATCCTGGTAAAGTGGTTGATAGTATATTTCTACTCCTATATTCTTATATTCCTATATAAGAATATAGCAGTGTGTATATAATATAGTACATTATAAGTGTGGGTGTATATTTAAGTCTATAGCAGTTGCTTCACAAGTGTTCCTGGCTTTGGCTTTAAATCAAACAGTTTTAAGCTGGAATCAATTGAAAATAAAGACGTGTAAACTTCTGTGCTATTACACTATCAGATTTGCAAGTGTATATGAAAATGAAAGAACAGACCACAACCTCAGTCCAAGCACAGTATTTGTTAGTCTACATGGAGTATACAATTTTCACTCCAAATCAATTCTTTAACTTTTTTTAGTTTGTTCTATTAGGGGGAAAAAAGCTCTTTTGAAAGCATTTTATTAGCCAATGTGTAACAAAATTCCTGATACCCAGTTTAAAAATCTTTAATAGTGTTAAAAGAAAATGTCAAAGTCTTCTGAAATACCAATATTAAAAAAACCCAATCTATTTAAAAGCCAAGCAAGGTGGTTTTACTTTAAAAAGGAGGGTCTCACAAGAGAGTCATCATCAAAAACTAGAGTTTTCATAAATGTGTGTTAAGATGGGAAACTCATATCTCAACCGCAAACTAGGAGCTTCTTCAAATTAAGATCAGTCACCTAATGAACTAAAGCACCGTTATAGACTCCTTAACAAATGGAAATGGTCAGAGCACAGATCCCCATTGAAACAAAACTCAAGGAGGAAGTGCAACTACATTTTCAGTTATGATTATGAAATTTAGATAATATAAAATATGGCCAATTTTTAAAAGTTACACTGTGAAACATTTTCATATGGGAAATGTCAGATTCAATACTGTCTCTCTTCAAGTTTGAATAAGGGGCAATGTTAAATAACTCTGAAGTAGTCCATAGCTACGTCTCCTCAACCAGGACAGTCATCACCCACAATGCAGACCCTCAAGTAGAAGTTACTGTGAATAGTAAAATATATATAAAAATAAAAATATTTTTGGAAGTTTTCTACATTTTCAAATATACTGATTTCAATTACAACACACAATACAGTGTACAGTGCCCACTTTATTTTTTGATTACAAATATTTGCACTGTAAAAAACAAAAGAAATAGTATTTTTCAATTCACCTAAAACAAGTACTGTAGTGCATTCTCTTTATCATGAAAGTTGAACTTACAAATGTAGAATTATGTACAAAAAAACCTGCATTCAAAAAGAAAACAATATAAAACTTTAGAGCCTACAAGTCCACTCAGTCCTACTTCTTGTTCTGCCAATCGCTCAAACAAGTTTGTTTACATTTGCAGGAGATAATGCTGCCTGCTTCTTGTTTACAATGTCACGTGAAAGTGAGAACAGGCGTTTGCATGGCACTGTTGTAGCTAGTGTCGTAAGATATTTACATGCCACATGCACTAAAGATTCATATGTCCCTTCATGCTTCAACCACCATTCCAGGGGACAAGCGTCCATGCTGATGATGGGTTCTGCTTGATAACCATCCAAAGCAGTGTAGACCGATGCATGTTCATTTTCATCATCATGATTCAGATGCCACCAGCAAAAGGTTGATTTTCTTTTTTGGTGGTTTGGGTTTTGTAGTTTCCACAAAGTGTTGCTCTTTTAAGACTTCTAAAAGCATGCTCCACACCTCCACCCTCTCAGATTTTGGAAGGCACTTCAGATCTTAAACCTTGGGTCTAGTGCTGTAGCTATGTTTAGAAATGTCACATTGGTACCTTCTTTGCATTTTGTCAAATTTGCAGTGAAAGTGTTCTTAAAATGAACAAGATGTGCTGGGTCATCATGCGAGACAGCTATAACATGAAATATATGGCAGAATGCGGGTAAAACAGAGCAGGAGACAAACAATTCTCCCCCAAGGAGTTCAGTCACAAATTTAATTAATGCATTATTTTAACAAGCATCATCAGCATGGAAGCATGTCCTCTGGAATGA